CCCGTCGCCCGCGGGCGGGTCTGTCCCTCAGTTCCTCCCGTGTCCTCCCGGACCCTCTGAAGGGACAGGGCTCCCTCCCCCCTCCTCTGGCCCAGCCCACGCCCTCTGCCAGATAAACTTCCTTCCCTGTCCACCCTCCAGCCCCACATCCTCCCAGAGTCCAAGGGTCAGTCCCCGGGCCGAGAAGGCCGCCCGAGGGCAGGTGGGGGCTGCGGACCCGCTCTCTGGCCAGAGGATGACCACGGCTGAGTGAGAGCAGGGGAACCTGAGCACATTCACCGTCGTCCCCCCCAAAACCCCACCTGGGAGGAGGGGGGTCAGGGGAAGACAGTGGCCGACCCCCGTGTGTTCCCAGTCCCTGCGCTCCACCCCAAAAGGAACTGAGCAGCCAGACGTCGCTTGTCCGAGGTCACACAAAGTCAAGAAGCAGCCAGTCTGCCTTCCAACCCTCTCTCCCCGGCCTCCCGTGGTCCGGCCCAGTGGACAGCCCGGTGTTGCCATCACAGGACCCCAAGGGTAGCCCTCTGGGCTGGGCGGGGCCTGTCCTTCATCCCCCCCACAGGTCAGGGCTCAGGGCGTGGGCGGCTGGAACCCAGGCCTCCAGGGAAGGGCCTGACCTCACCTGCTGCCCCAGGGCTGGACCATGGGCCGGAGCAGAAGACGCCAGCACAGGGACCTTCAGAATATTCTCCCGCCTGTGAGCGGACAGACACCTGCCTGGCCACACCGGCCCGCATGGCTCAGTGGTGAGTTTCGACCTAGGAACCAGGAGGTCAGGGTTCGATTCCCTATCAGGGCACAGGCCCGGGTTGCAGGCTCCATGCCCAGGGTGGGGCGTGCGGGAGGCAGCCGATCCATGATTCTCTCTCATCACGGATGTTTCTCTCTCTCTCTCTCTCTGTCTCTCTCTCTCCCTTCCTCTCTGAAATCAATAAAAATATATTTTAAAACAAAACAAAACGAAACACCTGCCGGGCCGCTGCATGTTGGGTAACATATTGCAACTCTCTGTAACTGAGCTCACTCCCCCCCAAGGACTGAGGCCACCCAGCACCCCTGTGGGCTATTAGGGCTCGGAAACCGGCCCCATTCGCACCGGTTCGTGGGTGGTGAAGGGGGAGCCTTGCGCTTCCACCCGGTTCTTTGCGGAGTGAAAACGCACCCCGTGTCCCCAGGCCGGGAGCGCGAGGGAGCGGGGAGCGCCGAGGC